ACTGAACGGTCAGCAAATTTAAAGTTATAAGATGTTATAAGGACAACATGTTAACGTTCTATTTGTAGTTTCATTACATGCAGTTGCCAGTCGTGTTGGTGGTAAACACACCCAAAGCCATGTAAAGTCAACGTTGATTTCAATCAGAACTCATTTGACCCTCCGATCCCCATGAACGAGGACCCCCTCGCAAAGTCAAAAGCTGCAAGGTATCATTTCTCGATCCGGACACCATCCGAACAATCTTCTTGAACTAAGGATGTTGAACTTCCAATAGGCAAATAACATTGCTGAAAGGATGGATCTGCAGGCCTTTTGCTGCTAATCGTAGCCCTCAATGATGAGCATCACCACCGTTTCTGTTCAGAAAAATGCCTCAAAAGGTGACTTCAAATTCAAAGGAAACCACCACGGGACGGAGACGGAAAGCATCGTGGGATTTCGTCTTTTCCTAGGTTGAGACCTCCCAACCCATCCCAACCCATGGGGGTCTCTGCAGTCTCCCCATCCACACCTGAACACTGCTCCTTCTGACCCATCCGAAAACTGCCGACGGTCCGTCTGGCTCCTTGGGGCTTTTGGTCTGCTTGTCACCGCTCCACAAGGACCAGGGCCCTGTCTCACCCACTGGAACGTGGGTGACGACCTTCTCGGTGGGCCTTGAGGCGGCGGTGGGTGATGACCCCGCCAGCGGGGCTTGAGCCAATGGATGGAACTGGTGCCTAACACTGTAGCAATTTTCAACCATTGACCATAAGGACTCGAGCCAAAACAGTTGAACCTCCCGGCACCGTGGCTTTTCCAAACCCTCATCCTCTGAGCTTGGCGGCCCCATGTCGACATCTGTGTCTAGCCTGAGAATGGCACAGTTCGAGGTGGGCTGCTGTGTGGAAGACCTCACAAAAGAGAATTCCTGGAAACAAGAGGCGGCCAATTCCCCTGGTTTTTCGTCTGACAGTACAGGTCTAGCAGGAGATACATCAAAGGGACCACAGGAAAAACATGGAACCAGCCAAAGCGCTGTCTTTGAGTCCTTTCAGACCCATAAACGATATCAAACGATCACTCCCAAGGGGTTGAGACCTAATACTGTTGCTGGAAGAACACACCCTGCACATCAGAACGGGCATCGGGATGGACTCGGACTCGCTGGGGATGTCAACTGTGATGTGGCACCTTTTCGTGCAGGTGCCGCATTTTTCTTGGCCTCCTGCCATATGGAGGAGGCTGAAAAAAGAAATACACAAGCTGAAACAAAAACACACACACACACACATCCCCCCCAAAAGGTACATCGATACCAACTGTGCATGTGGAGATCCCAAACCGACCACGGGTCGCCGGACTCCCGACTCGGTGACCCGGAGCCCACTGGGCAGGCCCCACTTCGTTGGCGTGATCTGTGGAGGAGCCTTCTCAGTCCGTCGGCGCCTTGGTGGGACGGAGAAAAATGCATGTGGCCCTGGTCCACCATGTGTGTAAGCAATTTCGGGAAAAGGCTTCGCTTTGTACACAATGCCAAGATTTATCGCTTGATATGGGACCCCGGACGCCGAAACCAAAGAATTCACGAATTCATGAATTTGAAAGCCTTGGCTTGAAGCATCATGCCGCATGCATGTTTGGTTATCTTGTGACTTGTGCCCACCTACTCTGCATTGTCTTGTGCGGACATTCGGTTTCACACTCTGTACTCTTGTTTCGTGGATTTTAGTGGATGTTTACCAAGGTTTCCTGGTACCCGGCGAATGCCGAAGGGCCGAATAAACGACGCGTGAGGTCGACAGTGCGCAGGTCTCATCTCATCGGCAGGTCACCCAACGTATCCAGGTTTGACCCAAAGCCATATGGCATCGAAAACACACCAGTGATCATCAGTGTCAAACAAATCCAGTGTCCTAAGCATCAGCTAAACTGGGACACCAAATCAACGGCTGTAAGTTTGAAGTAACTGGGACACCAATATCAATAAATGGCCTGGCATACCCTAACTTAACTTTGAAGTTACAAACACTTGCCGGGTCAAGGGTGATGAGTCATTCGCCGGTTTAAACCGTCTCTTTGGGCACGATGGACAGGTGACGATGTTGCTTGTGACCAAATGTCTGATCACGTCATGCGAAGAACAAAGAGCGCATCTTCAGTTGGTGCTGAGGGGATCAAAGTGGATGCTCCTCGACATCTCGACGCGTTGCTGCCGTTGTCCTCTTCACCAAACAGTCAGTCGGAAGCGTGCATGTTGCGGAGTGCTGTCAGTCCCTTACCACTTATCCCCACCCACTGGGAACCCAAGTCCTCTTGTATTCAAAAAGAGAGCCACAGTCCAAGAATATCAAAGAATACGGTCTTTTGGGGAGGTCCTATGGAGGTCCTCCGTCAGCAAGAACTATATATACAAACTCCCATACCATATCCCTATCATGACAGGAATGTACATGTGGGTTGTATAGAGGTCATGTCAGCAAGAACCACTCAAATCCTTCTCTTTCCTTTCGCCCTCAAAGAGCAGCATCGAGCAGCAAGATTATATTTGTTGACATAGTAGTGCATAGTAGTATCCCTTTGAGACAGGCGTCCCACCTGCTTTCATGACTTCTCCCTTAGTCCCACATGCGTCTTCGACACTTCGGCACTTCAGGCGTCACATCAGCCTCGGGCGTCCCATGCGCTGCACGAGGCGTCAGGCGTCTCAAGCGTCGTCAAGCGTCTTCCACTGTGGATCCACGCAACCGTCTGTGTCATTGAACCCTTAACTCCCTGATCAGGGACGAGGTATGCAAACACGCGGACAAATCACCGACATTCTCCACATGATCATATCATATTCATATCTTCTCCGTCAAATCATGCACGAGAAGGCCAAGATCATCGAAAATCCCCTTGGACGTGCCAGTCTCACTTTTTCAGTTATCCGGCTTCACTTTCCCAATGTGATTGAAGCCCGTGGTTCCACCCCGAAGCCAAGAGATCTCCACATGAATCAACTGAGTGATGGAATTCGTCCCCAGATTTTGGGATATGCCTCAAAAGCAATGGTCCATCCAGAATCCAAAGTCCCAAGTTGCAGGATCTGTACACTCCAGAAAACTAACATGGAAGTGGAAAACCACCTGTTCGTAGTAGAAAATGGCCTTCCAAGGGGCCATTCTCCACTTCCATGTTAGTTCCAGGGAGTGTAATTCATTCGAGTCAAAGAGGTACAGCTCGCCCTTCCTCTCGCTGCGCTGAGTTTCCAACCGGGCCGCTCTGCTTACTGCGACGGAGAGGCACCGAGCAAGGCATATGCAGGCTATCAGAACGACCCCCCACCCGATGGGCTTTAGTACATGGTTCCTTTTACTTGTACGATTATTGGGTAGCTATAAGATGCTGTAAGTCTGAATGAATTACTTCTTACTAACTCCTTACACATCAGAAAACATCGAAACCTCAATGAAGGTTGAGCCGTAACTGTAACGCTTACAACCAAGTCGCTATGCAGGGAAGGGATGAGTGGGGGAGGTCTGCAGTTTCATTCACATATGACCTTTCCTTAGGTCTTCCATGCAGAAACCGTGCATAGAAAATTGCCAAATGGTCGGAATCACGGGGCGACAGGAGTCCCTGTCCAAGGCACTCTTGCAGCGGACCGGGACTCAGTGTTTTGCTCACTTGGGCGCTAAGTCTGCGCCTCATCGTGTGGACACCAAAACCATTTCACTGGACCGGACGAGTTCACCAAATCGCTAGAACAAATCCCTTCAAAAGATGATCCCAAAGCCCGTGGTGTGAGGCCCGAAAAAGCTGAATGAAGTCGGGTCAGTCTAAGAAACTGAAGGCCCAAGGATCAACGTGTTCAACATCTTGGAAACCCATGCGATTTACCCACATCCTCCACCTGAACAAATGCCACTCCCAAGTGGGCCCTCCCCACCAATCCATCCGGCAGAACACCCGACACGGCTTCGAAGCTTCGGTAGGTTCTCCGGTCCTCGACTCTGACTCCCTGCCTCTCTGGCGTGTTTTCGCCTTTGACCTTCTTGGGGAAGAAGGCCGCCTCGATGCTACCGCGCTTGGGCGCCATCGAAGCCTGACGAGGGATCACACGGGGAGCTCTGAAGGACGCGCAAGCCTGGTTTTGGCGAGCTATTCGGTCGATGGAGGCAGCTTAGGGTCTGAGGAGTCTGAGGGGTCAACAAAAATATAGGCTCAAAAGGTTGTCTTCCACAAAACAGGGCATGGTCGCAAATGCAATGCCACCACTACAGTGTGGAGGAAGGGTTCTTTGTTCTTTGGAAGTGTGATTGACTCACGTTACTTCACTGATTCACACATGGCTCAGCTATGCTCAGCTTGCCGGCTTTCCTTCGCACCGGGCACAGGTCAAGGCTAAAGGACTAAGTGACTACATTGACTATGTATATATACATATGAAAACACGTTTCCCAGCCCCAACCACCCTTGGGCCACGGCGCCGCGGCTGCGCCAGCCAGAAGCTAAAACCAATGAGCCAAGCTTCGCGACGGAGGACACATCCAATCAGTCAAACAGTGATTTAAACATGCAAACATGCTGGCCACGAAACTGACATATATGTATATAGTATACATAATATCACATGATTATGTTACATCACACTATTAACTTCCACCTTGTGTTTCTGATGGCATCACCGGCCACGCAGGAATCAAACACCCAGAGACCAAAGACCCCAATGACTGCTTTGTTTAACTTCTTGAACATCCATGACGTCACACATATCTATGCCCCACTCATTCCCTCCGGCCTGCCGTTGGTCTAAACAAAAGAACGACTCCTACACTTCAACTAACATATCATGGCGCATGCCTTGCAAAGGAACACCTGTTTCAGGTTCGTGCCCGGGTGATGGGGTCATTTCTGGCGGGTTTCTGGGGGCAGGGCCAACACAAACCGTCGTGGAGGCCTGCTGCTGAGTTTCCGGGGGAGTAGGACCCCCGCTTCGTTCACTTGATCGTGTTCTCAAGTTCTTCGCCCGCGGCCTCAAGGAGCAGGGCCTTAGGCTGACCTGGTCGGTGACGACCGTTGGTGACGTCTTCAAGGCACAGGCAAATGCCCTGCAGTTGTTGGTCACTCCCGCGGTGTGATGTTCAGCTTCAAACAACAAACGCAGATGGGTCGTGGTTCCTGAAGCATTTACAAAGCCTCAGCTTACTGGTGCTGTGGCTATTGATGTTATTGTTTTCCGGACCACTCAGCTTGCTGAGCTTGCTGCAAGTTGCCCTGTGAATTGCCTGTTTGATCTGATCTGATCCGCTATATCAATGTATTGACGCTCTTTTTGCAGCTGCTTGTTGCAGGCTCGCCTGCTCTTTTCCAAGATGCTTTAAAACACTCAAATTGGCCAAGTATACCGTGGAAGGAGCGCCAAACAATGCTAGTTGCAGGAATCTCTTGCCGCAAAACATACGGCTCAGGGAGGCGAGGGGAGTCCGGGGAGAGCATGTCTGATACTCACAAAAAGACTGACTTGACCAATTCAACCAATTTCATGCCCGGTAAACACAGCAGACAAACCGTTTTGCGGACTCTGCTTCTGGTTCCAAAGGCGGCCAATCGATGAACAACGAGGACCTCCCGCCTTCGATGGGAGGACATTTCATGACCTCCAGCCGATGGCAGTGCATTTTGTCCATGGCATGGCTCCACTTCTGTTCAAGCATGTTCAAGCTATTCAGGAAAAAAGGTACCCTGAATAGCTTAAGAGTAGATGGAACTGGCACCCTAAGATGTCTTGGGGTCCAGATAAGCCACTGACCTTGGGGTAACTTGTGCCCTCTCCAATCCAAGAATGGTGGTTTGACGACGGGTTGGACTGTCTCCCACCATGTCTGTTCAAGTTCTGGGCGTTGTCACCGTTCGACTCCGGTGCCGCACACCGACCGACCAAACACCGTCCTCGACAGCATGGTCTCTTCAACAAGTGGTCCATTGGTTGGGGTGTGCCCTGGAGGTGGAGATCCCAACCCAACGGATCTAGATTCAGAGGGGAATTCAGAAATGGGTGGCGAATCTGGGTGAATGCAACCCTCAAAAACCTCCGACCAAGACATCACCAAAACGTCAACCAGTGTTCATCTTTGAAATGATTCGGGCAAGAGACCCCTAAGAACCCCAAACCCCTAAGAAGCCCAAACAGTGTGTCCACACTGTTTGGGGAACCGGAGATGTTCGACCCCGCACCTGGCGATCGGCCCTTGGGCGATCGGCATGGTGTGGCGATCGTCGGCCCAGTGGGTTCTGCGTTGATGTGCTGCATCGGGGGCATCGCCCGCTTTTTTGTGAAAGATCTTCAGTATATCCAAGATCTTGACGCCCCCGAAGGGAAGCAAAAGAGATCTGTTGCGAAATTGGAGAAGCCCGGACAAATCTTTCGACCATCTAAAGCTGTTGGGATGCCCAAAATATGCTCTTCGCGGTTTGATGGTATTAATGCAATAGGCCGTTAGAATGTGGTAACTAGAGGATCATCATCTTGAGAAAGGAATGATGGTTTTCAGAAGCGGGTCTATGGATTGCAGGTTTATGAGTCGCACGTTGTTTCTCTCAAAGGGTCTGTCAGACTGTGGGGTGATCTGCCAAAGCTCCAGAGTCAGCAACATGTTCTTTGCTTTATGGGTTTTGATGGCATGATTTATGGGAGACAAAGAATTTCAAAGAGTATCAACTGATCCCGGTCACCAAATTGGCTGGGAGTGTACCTGCTTGAGTCATCTTCAGTGATGTCGCAGGTGCATGCAGTGCCCCGATGTTTTCTTCTCTTCTTCTTCGCTTCGTCATTGCGGCGCGCAACTGTGCATGGAAAGTACGGAGGGAGGGACTGGGGAATAGGGATAAAGAAAGCAGAATCTGTTTTTGCACACTCTTTTCAACACACAAAAGTGGCAAATGGACGATGACGACCGTGTGCCTCTCACTTGTTCTTGGTTGTTCGTCATTTCGAGCAATGGGACACAGATTATACAGGAGATACAGGTGGCTATTGAATCTTTGGCCCCATGAGCCTTGGTAAACAAACATCTCTACTATACGACAACGACTACAACACTTTTCTCCCCAAACGGACATTTCATGATGCTTTCATGATGCTACAGTACGCCGGCTACGCACAGGAAATGCGCCCAGGAATTCCCATCTCCAACCCAATCAGCCACTAAGTTGATTGCAATGGATCCATGAGTCAGGGCTTGGACACTTCAAAAAACCAACAAAATAGCTCCGCTCCATTGGGAAACGCCGTCAGGGTCTCCATGGGAGTCAAAGCAGTGATCTGAAACGTTCGGTGTCGCGCTTCGGAGCCGAGAACAAACCGAAGGGGCTCAACGGCGCTATGAGAATCAACGGCTTCTACCATCTTCTACCCTCTTCAGTTGGTGTTTGGCATCCCTGATCCCGGTTTCGATGTTGGAGATCGATGTTGCAGAACTCACAATAACTGACCCACACCTTTTCGGGCACCCATGTTGGGGTGCAGAACCTGCCACTCGGACAAAACTCCATACATATCGTAAATGCTCCCCCCGGCCGGCTCCCACTTCGAACACTCCACTCGAACAAATCTGCCCATGAGGCAAATGACGATGGATCCCCAGAACGCGCTTGACATCCCTGATATTTGATCCCGATGAATGAAGCCCCCACCCACAGCCAACTCCAATGCTTCACAACGTCCAAACATAGCCCAGACGCTCCATGTATGCTATATGCCTACATTGACCCCTCAAACCACCCCAATGTAGGCATATATACCATACATCGAGCGTTTGGGTAGGGGTTTGGGTTGAACATATGTGCCCTTAAACCCTAAACCCCTCGTCGAGTCGAGTGCCGGAAATTAACCACCCTTTGGTCTCAATCTTCGCTCGCCGGCGCTTCCAAAGACCCAAGCGCTTGGCCTCGCTTTTCTGCCGTACTGAACCGAAGAACGGCAGGTGGTGCGTGGCAGGTGGTGCGTGGCATCTGGGGTGGGTTGAACACCTGGAAGGAAGGAATCCCACTATCGTCGGCAGGGACGAGGGGGAATGCAAGCTCCAATTTCTTGGTTGGAACAATTGGTTCCCTGAAACATGGATGCTATGAAAATCAGATTTGGATGGTGGTTCAGAATATATTTGGGGTCTAGCACTAGCGAAATATTGGTTGTTTAGTATGACCAATTGAGATCTATGAATCTAATTCTATAGCATCTTTTGATCACCATTCTACAAAGTGGTGACATTCAAGTTCCAAACACACCTGGATTCTCTTCTGACTCCCAAAGCAGTTTCTCCATAAATCAATGGTTGAACAAATTGTCATCCCCTTCAACATTTGTAAGCCACCAATCCTTGCACCCGAGCGCTGCGTTCTGGGCCGGACCTGTAGCCAAGGGGCAGTAGACGGACAAGTTGTCAGAGAAGTTCTTTCCGGTCTTTGGACAAATGGAGGGATGTTCCTGGCACGTTTGGGCACAGGTTTCCGGCCGAAAGGGGATGGTCGTCCAGTGGTCCAGGCTGAAGGTTATATGAAGAATGCATATACCAGTATGATACAGTATGCATACAAATGGTTAAAGTTATTGCAATACATATATATATATATATATCCGGTTGTGCTGCAAAATGATCCGGTTGTGCTTGGCACAGAGACACAAAACAGCTCTCACTTGTTCAGACCTCCAGAACGACAAAATCATACCCGTGACAACAATTGTGGACCTTGGGTCCTAGAGGCCTTATTGTATCTTAGGTCTAAAAAAAGCCAGCCGTGCAAGATCAAAGGTACATACCTTGAAGTATAGGTAAGTGGTTTGCAACCAAAGGAATTCGGTTCACTGCAATGCCTGGGTTTGAAGGTAGACAAATACTTGCAGCAGCGAAAGTACACAACAAAGGAAACATGACTCCCGCATGTGAGGCTGGACCTACAGCTCAACCCACAGAGTCAGCGAATCTCACCCATGTGCAAATCACAAAGAGACCTAATATGATATATAAATATAATATATATAATAGTCCTTCCAACCTTCCGACCTTCAAATGACATGATTGACATGCTGAGCTTTTGTTGCGTCGAACAAAGTCAGCGTCCCTTCTCAGGTCGTCCGGTCGTGCGAGGTGAAGTGTACGGTCGTCGTCCTTGCAGGTGAAGTGTACGCAGGTCTCGTTGGGGTAGGCAACAAAGGCCTTTCCCACATTGTCCTGAAGAAGACCACGCACATGTTTGAAGGCACGAACCATGCTACACAAAGCAAATCAGGAAGGTGGGGCTGGGTCAAAAGCTGGAGCCCGACCAGTCCACCATGTAGCGAACTAGGTCAACCAAGGTATTCAACCAACCACAGCCAACAGGTGGTCACCCAGCCCCGGTCAACCAAGGTATTCAACCGACCAGCCACACATCAACCATGTATCATAACCGGTGCCACCCACAGCGCCATCGTCCCAAGGACGGACCTTTGGACGAGTCGACGAGTTCGGCGGAACCGGTGGATCGACGGAACAGCGAGCGCTGTTGGCAAAGCAAACGACCTTGGACGTGGTAAACCAGGAGTCAATGATGTTCAATATGAATTGTTGTCTCCACTCCGATTTCAGCCGAAAAGAACATGGGACCCAAAGAAACGGCACGGATTCCTATTTCAGCACACCACAATCTGTGCGGATCTGGGTGGACCGGTAGGAACCGGTCCTTTTGGTGTCGACCCGGTTCTTGACCGCGGTGGGTGGGAAGCGGACCCCGTCCTTGTCCACGAAGCGCTTGTTGCAGACTGGGCAACATCGGTCCACGGTGATGTTCACCTTTCGTTTCGTGTGGAGACCGGAGACGAGGCGTTCGCCCAGCGGTCCGCTCGTCAGGGTTGGTCTTTTTCGGTCGACGGTCGACGCGTCGACCAGGTCGTTCGACTCGTTTCAGGTCGTTCCATGTTCCACTCGTCTGAAAAGCCTTTTGATCTCCCGAAAATCCCTTTTGCGTCTGAAACAACCGTCCTTCCCGGGATTTGAAGAAAAGAAAGGAACACCGGGTCTTCGAAAAGTGTAAAAAGAGTAAACAATAAGAGTTCCAGTTTTCTTATGTGCTTCCGATGGGTCAAAAGCATGGGTTGTAAGTTGGGCATGACACCAGCTCTTGGACTTTATGGAAAAAACGACTCGTGGCTTTGGTTGGTAGGAAAACCATGGAAAACCCAGTCCTGCACAGGTGATGCCAAAGAGGCAACCCCACAACAGTCAGGCATTAACAAATTCATTCTTGGAAGACTCTGAACAAGGCGATCACACTGGCCAAAAGCGCCGTGCACCCCGCCTTTCTCATGCGTTCCTTGGCCCAAGCACTAAAGGTCTTCAAGTATGCCATCGAGCTGAGATTTTCTTCCAGCATACCTGGGGGCCATGCAACTCTGAGAAGTCATCGCTCAGCATCACTTCAGCATCCACATACAACTCTTAAGTCTTCCGGACCGTGGCCCGTCCACACCCACCTGAATTATCGGATCGTGCAAACCAACCATCTTCTATCCTCTTCTCAATGGATCTGTGCCTTGGCGGTACAACCCTATCAACACAACACACACACACCAAATAATTAATGACCTTGAGCCCACACCAGGTTCCGTGGTTTCAGAGTAGATGACACTGGCACAAGTCCTCGATGGGGGTCCACACATTGGGATGGTGCCATCGAACCTCTGAATCCACCGTACATTCTTCTGGATGACCCGTTGAATTCGTATTCCAACTGGACGGACCATCAACACCATGTGCCCATTGTGCCCAGCTTGCTGCAGGATGCTGCAGGCGTACGGATCTACTGATCTACTGTATTTGCACATCCAATGCCCTTTCCCAAGATCTGAGAACATCGAACACAAGACGTTCCCAGGTGGGAAATGACGTTCCTATACGAGATCCTAACTCCAAGTGTCTCAAATCGACAGGAACCCCAACTCCTTCCGGTTCGTAGAAAGTCGTCTTTTTTTCGGTTCCCTCACGTTGAGACCTGTCCAGCACTATAGACAAGACATACCACGGTGTACGTACTGCCAAGCCTGGTTCTACCGGGTTCATTCGGCAACTACTTGACTTTGACAATTTGTGGTATAAAGTGGTATAGATCTTTTGAGGTGTTCTACTTGACTTGCGATCTCCCGGGCGCCCCCACTGGCTCGCTGCTGGTGCAAGCAAATGCGTGCACATTGGCTGAGGTACTCAGCCACACCCTGGCAGAGGTTTTTGCGGCTCAGCTCGAAGAATGATGCCCAACAATTTGTCCAGGGCTGCGATCATGGGATGCACAAGCCGAAATCTGAATGACAAATTCAAATGACACCAAATGACATCCAATGACACATCGGGGTGCACAAATCCTCCCAGATCAAACTGACATCGAAACATCGTCAAATAGATGAGTGCCTCCAAGGTCCAGTGTGAAGGCAACAAGCCCAGCACCTGAAGGGAGGGGGAAAGCGCAGGACTTCGCTCATGACGGCAAACCTCTGGAAAAAAAAAAAAAAAAGAAACATGATGCCAAACCTACAAATCGCTGGCCGGGCATTGCAGAAACCGACACCGCTGTGCTTTACATCAAGACTGGAGTGATTCGTACTATTTTTGACCAAGCTGAGCCGCGGTCGCCGTGGTCGGTCGTGGTGGTTTTGAACATATTTGGTATATTTTCCCCAAACAACCGGTGGTTTCAGTGGTCCAGGTTGCATAGAACACGGCATGAATCGTAACTGGACACCACTGGACACCTGTCATCTCCTGTAACCTCCGTTCCGTGCGGGTCAGTTCACTCTGCCCAATCCCAGTGATCCCAGCACAAAACATCTTAAAAGATCTTAAGCCACAGCTAATCAAAATTGGCAAGTGATGAAGGAGGCCAAAATATATCTGACACAGAGACTCCGAATGCGGTCTGTCGTTTTTTCGTTTGTCTGTCGCAGGTGTGGTCTCTGAGGTACGTGAGTCCTCTGAGTTGGGAATCATGTTGACTCTTTCATAAGCCCAGCAGCTTTTTTGTACACTGAACACAACCATGTCCTCAGGCGTTACAGTGTCGATAAGTCCCTCATTTCATCACGGCGGTTAGAAAAATGTATAAAACACAAAAACACCATCAGTCCTTCTGTGTCTTGTTCCGGGACATCTACGTCTACCCCGTGACCCGTTGGGCTCGCGCTCCATGACCCGTGACGCCCACCTCGTTGGGTGGCACATCTCGATGCCCGGCGTAGCCCATCAGCAGCGCGAGGACTGCGTCTCGGTATTCCACACTCACCTGTCTCGCGTACGCTTCCGGCGTACGCGGGAACCGTGGTGGCAGAACCACGGAACCGTGTGGCGGCTTCCTGGTGGTGAAGCACCACGCAGAACATGCAGAAACGCACAGAACATTCAAAGGCTTCAAAGGGTCTTTGATGGTCAAATGGGATCATTGCTGCCAATGGCACAGCTGTGGATTGATGATGATATCAAGAACTAAAATGAACTAAAATGACCATTCTTGGCTGTGAGAAGGGAGTAACCGCACAACTTCTTCACCATCTTCATTGAAACAATTTGGGGGCCATGGTGAAACCGGCAGGGTGTGTACTCTGCGTGGTCAACGAGCATCCGGGAATGACCAAAACCGTTTCACCTGGGACGAAACCCATACAGACCGGACCAACTGAGGCACGACCGGTCGACCCTTCGACCACCTTCTTGTAGCTCTCTGGCTTCTCTGCCGCGGTCTCATGAGCCTCCAGCCTGATCACCGTGAGCGACCGAGATCTCGACCCGGTTCCGCGTCATGTGACGTCCAGGTGACGTCCAGGTGAAGAAATCCACAGGACGGAACATTGAAAAGGAATACCATGCAGACTGATGATGGTTGTCTCACCTTCCCGGAAGGGTCCTTGGTGAATCAATCTAGCTGGGCCAAGTCCAAAACGCCAAGCCCAAAAAGTCGTGCATCCGTGCATCCACCGAGATCATTTTCGGTGGCCAGGTCATCCATCTCACGCGAATCAGATGACTGGACCTCTCTGGAAATCCAGCGATCGATCTGGATCGACTGGGAACCGCGGCAGGATCTTCAGCAAAAGCATCAGTGGACGTGTGCGCACCGTCGCTTCCACCTGGTTGTGGCGTGCGGATCGAAGAAAATCGACACGGAAAGAGGATCAGGTGGCATTGCAAATTATTCACACACACACACAGTTGTTGTTGAATGATTCGCCATACTGTATGTGTGTCTCGTGAAAAGAAAACAACAACATCATACACTGTATTGAAAAAGCAAATTCATTGCAAATCATTCACACACACACATGTTTGTGTGTTGGCTTTTTCATGCTTTTTCAATATGTTTCATCTAATCTAAAATCAGGGTCCACACTACTGTTGAAATCTGTTGAACAACCTGGACTCCAACAGAGGAATGTCATAAAGAACGCGCACAGTTGCTTGCTCCATCTTGCTCCTATCTTTGAGTTAAAAAGTCAAAACCAACTTCAGGCTCAAATGTCAACGGGTCAGCCAACATGGTCTTGTTTTCAGAAACTTCATGCAGCATGAAGACACCGTCCCTCTCTGTTGAACCAACATGGTGATCAATTTAAACAGCACCAAAACAGGCCGTGAAGTGAACTCTCAGGGCAAACAGCACAGACACCTGAAAAAAAACAACAACAGCCAGGGGTCGGTCCATCAGTCTATCAATCTATTGAAATACACACCCACATGTGTTTCCAAACCTATTTTATTGTTTGTTTGTTTGTTTCAGGCACGCTCGCCGATGGCTCTCCCGCGGCATCCGGCTAAGGACAAGACGATGCTCGGATCCTGGCAAGCAGAGAGGAGTGCTGAGCAGTGTATTCAAGACGAAAAAACGATTTCCCAACACGAAACTCAAACAATTGAACATCAATTACAGTAGATTCTAAAGCAAGCACGGTGGTCGAAGTCGCAGTGAACATATCTGCTAACAACGTCTCTTGTGACTCGTGACGGATCCTGCGAACAAACTCGGTCGGCACTTCCGGGCTTCTTTGGCCTGGCAGGCTAAGACCGGATACCAAGATCGACCCCCAAGAAAGACACTCTTGAGTCTTCAGCTACTGATTCTTACAAGAAATCCTCAACCGGAGAATCATATGAGATGTCTTTACTTGCTTTGTTGCAGGGTAACTGCCATAAAATGCAGCTTGCATTGGTCTTGCTCAAAAAACATGTGCCTCTTGAATCAAAGGTTCATTGTCCCGCCTCTTGTCCTTCTTGAACTCCAAGGATGCTCTGAACATCCCAGGTTACTTTGACACCGTTCACGCTGTGAACAGCCACGAACATTGCACCCTCAATCTATGGCCAATCAACAAATCGCAAACCCACATCAATCATATAGGACGCCCATTTCAAGGCTGCCCCGGTATGTTTTCCAATCGGTCCATCTTCGCCGCTTCGCCGCCTTCACCCCGTCCCACCGCCCAACCACTGTCCAACCCCGTCGCGAACGGCGTGTGGCCACCCCGCCCGAAGACCACCGGCCGAGCCCAAGGAGGCAGCTCAGCACTGAAGACAGAGAGACCCTGAACGACGAAATCTTCAGCCGTTTTTCACGGTGGACCGGTGGCGGACCGGTCGACTGGGATAGGTCAAGACAGCGAACTGAAGAAGTTTGGAGGGAAAATGAAATGCTTTGATGTGCTTTGGAGATGTTCCGAAAAGGGGGTTGAATATGGCACCGGGAGTGGTTGGGGAGGCCTCTCATAGCTGGATCAATTGCATTTTGAAACATATTTTCCACAGAGATGCACTCGAGGTCGGCCAATTCTGGGATTGATGAAAGTAGAGTGGGATGTTCTAAAGACTTCCAAACGCAGTTCTCAGAGTCCTTGAACAAATCTAACACGGTGCTTCCGGGCGCTGCGCCGCGGCGCGCCACTGCGCCTGAGTCGACTCCTGCGCTTCCCTGGCGGTTGACACGGCGGAGAGCTCCATAGGATCAGGATGTAATCGAAAGAAACGCCAAAAAGGGATAGGAGAGCGCATTAGTCATCTTTGGAGAGCTTTGTTTGGGGAATTGCATCCTGGTGATAGGAGAGCACCAGGTACATGCTTCTACTCTAGGCTTCCACACCCATTGGTAATAGTCTTTGCTGATGAACCATGGCTAGGGACTTGGACAGGAAAAGGAAGATACAGTATAGCAAAATTCTGAGTGGAGCAAATCAACATTTGATTTACATTCGGTCATTCGGAATGTAAACATGTCCAAGATATGAACAACCTTAATGTTCCAATTTGATTCGGGATTTAGTCCATGTTCTACTCCAGGTCCATCGATTATGGTACCAACAGAGTGTGCACACTTGTCGCTCAAGAGCCAGTGTGCCAGACCAAGCACGATCAAGCTTTTGTGCCCCCATAGCTTCGACAAAGAAACGACAAAGAAACTTCAAACATCCACTGTAGCCATGCCATTACAATTAATTGTCCTTCCCCACTGGAATTTGCAAGCAAGTGTCAAGTTAAACTTAAACAACTACAAGCCAACATTATCATTCCCCAAGACCCTTGAACAACTTTTAAAGAAGTCTGAAAAAGAAAACTCATGCTTTCATTAAAAGTGTGCCTACGCAAGACTGCCTACGCAAGTCTTTCAACACCCACCTACGCAAAATGCTTACACGACGCCTACGCCCCAAGCAGAACAGCCTCTGCAACTTCTCAACAGTTCCCTTTTTGTATAAACCTAATCATTTGCAAAAAAAACGTGGCGAATACAGATAAATACAGTAATTCACCTCGGCTGAGATCCATTGTGGCCACCACCTCTCCCATACCCTTTCAACCGGCATCGACGGCGCAACCTCCGCATGAGCAAACGGCAATAGATCTCTGCACGGCCCAAGTCGTTAAGGTCCAAGGCCAAAATGCGCCTTCACGGATTTGCCATTGTGATGAAGCGGATGATTAAGCCAATCCCTTGCTTCGTCAATTATATATATATATTTATATATACGGATCTCAGGGCAACTCCTGATCAAGGAATTCCATGATAGGCTGTTTCTCTCGCTGAGGTTATGCCGGGACCAAGAACTACGAAAGACTACGAGTTCATTGGAGTTCAAGAGCTAGAAATATATTTGATGATCAGTTGATTGATGTTGATTGCTTCCACACAACTTAAAGACTGCCCTCACTGAGTGCTCCCTCTGAAGAACCCCCTCGGCTTCGGACAAGGCTTCATAGTGGCGCTTCTCTCGGCTGCAAAGAACCACCAGCTCCTTCTTCGCTTCGGAACGTACGAGTAACAAGGACGCTATTAGGTGGAGGCAAGTAGGTTGGAGGCCATCGCTACGAACGGAGCGATCGGACGCTACGAACGTAGCTCCTGGCATTACTACTAACAAGAAGCTACTCGATCCGATCCAAAGAGTCCCCGGATGACGGTCACTTGAGTCCGGTGACCGCACGGCTAGGGGCGATGTCTCGTCCATTCCGGTGATCTTCAGTGGGTAGGAAGTCGGATCCGGTAAGGAAGAAAGCGGCTAGAAGCTGATCTTGGACCTTCATGTTTGAGGTACGAAATGACCAGTGTGATACCAAGTGTCAGGATTCTGAGATGCCCCAAACCAAAACTACTACCAGTACAGTATAGGATGGAAGCCCTGAAGCCAGAAAACTTCAGGTTACGCTTCAATGATGCGGAACATCTCTGGTTCAAAACGCTTGAACACTCGCGGAACCTCTGGAGGCGCTTTTGAGCGAGACGCCTTGAGGGTCTTGGAATGGTCAACACCATGTGAGCATGTTACTCAACGTCCTCCACTGTCGCAAAACTATGAAACTGACGCTGATGTCTGGCTAATCCTCATCGTTGTTTAAATGTGCATTCAGGACGTGAAGGATGGCGGGAATCTCAAACAAGGATCGCGTCATGACACCAAAAGAATCAAAGGAAGGGCGCCACCCATCAAGGTCTAATCAATCAATAGTGCATGCTGCATGCATGCATTTACAATCATGACTCATGCCATACACTCATGACTCATGTGGCACTTCCTCATTCCTTGCGTCATCCCTTCGTTTCTCTTGCCGCTTGGCATCCCGTCGATCCCGCCTCATGGAGCTCCAGCGCCTCCAAGCGCGGCAAGAGCTCTGCGGTTGGCTCCCCCTCGGCCTCTTCCAGGAACCTTCCGCAGATTGGAGGTACCAGAGAAGTGAAGTGATATTCACCATTCAACATCTGCCAATTGTTTTAAGAAGATTTGTTAAAATCACATCCATCGGCCAAATCGAACCGGACGTCGGCATCTATCTCTCTCGCCCCAAAGGTCGCCCGGTGGGTGCACCCGTCACCTTTTGATCGCACAGCAACGGATTTCGACAATGGATTTCTTGGTCCATATTGGGAGTGACACGGATTTCGCCGCGGCGGTGACACGGAGTGCACTACGGTGGCCAAAAATGGGATTCGGTGGCCGGAGACGTTCGGTGGCCTCACGGAACCTGTCTTGAGGCCTTGACCTCTTTGCTGCAAAACTGGCTCAGGCCATTGACGATGCGTGCTTCTTGCACACTGGGACGGCGCCGAGCAGTCCGTCCTTTGCTGGCCTCCTTGGCAGCCTCCTTCAAGGTGTCAACGAGCTTCTGGCTGCTCTGCACGACTTCATAGGGCTTTTGCCCCTCTAAGGACTCTTTGAGAGGATCGGCCTTGTAATCGAGCAACAGGCCGCAGGTGGCTGCCTGGTCGTTCCTGGCTGCTAAGATGAGAGGTGTCTCTGTTGGTGCAGCACTGAAATTGGGATCTGCCTTGAAATCCAGCAAACTTCCGGAAATCGTGATGTGACCACCTTCAATGCTTGCATGCAGTGCGGTGTGTCCACTCATGGAGGTTTGATGGACATCCGCCTTCGCCTTGAGCAGATGTGTGACCGTAGCATCATGGCCCTCCCTGGCTGCAACGAACAAAGGCGTCCGCCCATCAGCGGAAGGCGCGTTCAGGTCGCAGTTGAGGCTAATGAGAACCTTCAGGGTGTGCAATGAACCCTTCATTGCTGCTGCATGCAGTGGCCGGAAGCCATAGGCAGTGCAGCTCTCCTGGAACTCAGGATGCTCTGAGGCGATTTTCCTCAAGGTCTTTTCATCATTCATCATTGCTGCTGCTGCCATTGCTCCCGCTATGAACCTGTGCTGAAGGCGGCCATTCACAGCTGTGTAAGCAACGGAATCCGTTGGAGGCTTCAGCCTGTCCCAACTGTCTGCAGGGGTACTGGCCAAGAAGTGCAAAATACGCTTCCTGTCCGCCTCCAGTGTAGCTTCTGACTTCTGCACAGCTGTCCGATAGCCCTTCAAAGACAGATCCATTGGGAAAATGGCCCCAAAGGGCTCACGGAGGACCTCCTCGGAGGTGCCATCACCGGTATCTGCCAGCATGGCTGCCTTTTTAAGTGGTTCATTCCAGGCAACTATGTCAGTGAGATGCGTGGTGCTTTTGTCCAGTTGCATGTCAAGGCTCAAGGCCAGCTCCAATAGGCACCAAGAACGACCAGTCGCCCGGCCTTTCCCATCCAGCAAAACAACGGTGCCCTTGCAGCTTTTGCTGATCAGCACCTTGCAGAAAGGGCTTTGCTCGAAGTCCTGGGGCATTGGGAAGTTCGTCACTTCTTCGCCATGTAAAGACCTTGCAAAGGCATCCATCCACCAAGCGGTCTCGCCCCCCGTCTCCCGCTGCTCTTGGTGAAACTTCAGCATGGACACCTGGAGGCACCACAGAATCAACGAAGAGTAGCGTCCTTGCTCCTAGTAGCGATGCCCTTTGCTCCTAGTAGCGTTCTTGTTCCTAGTAGTAAGGCCAGGAGCCCCTAGTAGCTTCTCCCTTTGCTCCTAGTGGACCATGGATGAACATGTTTTTTTTAGAAATTCACACGTGTCCGAGCCACACAAACACACACCCACACCGTGGGTCGACCGGAAAACACCTGAGGCTTACAGTAAATTATGTTTGGTTCACTAGAAAGCTTCCGGAACATCCCAGAAAAGAACATTTCACCAGTAAAATCCAGGGCACTGTTTGTGAGAGTGGCGTGCCCCACCAGTGGCTGATGAACCACTGAGGCACTTGTGGTTTTTCTGCGATCAGCTCCACGAAGGAGCATTGGAAGCGGATCGTCAAGGGCTGCAAGAAGTGCTTGCTACATTGGTACATGTCAATTGTTATCCAAGTCAAGCAGTCACCTCCTTCAGCCACTCTACTGGGCCCGGAAGCGGAATCGCTTTGAAGAGGACATTTCTCCAGCACCTCCTTGATGAGCTTGGCTAAGGCAAACAACTGATGGAGAAAAAGCCCTCGCTCGTCACCCCTTGGGAGGGTGGAAGACCGTCTTTCGTAGGCCTCGGGCAAGGGCACCGTCTCGACCCAAGGGATGAAATCAGAGACCTTCTCCGGCTTCGGTCTTTGAAAACCTGTGATGTAGTCCACAAACTCCTCGAAATCTAATGATCCGTTACCATCTTGATCCATGGTGTCGAAAAGCAAGGTCAACTCATCCTCAGTGATCTCGGGGTTTCCTTTGCGCAAGAGCTCCGCCATCTCCTCCCGACTCAACTTCCCATCGCTGTTCTCGTCCACCTTAAAGAACTCCTCCTTACACCTCTCTGCGGTGACCTGCTCTCTGCTCTTGGACTTTTGGAGCTTGCCGGCACTCATGGAGTTCAAATACTTGGCGAACTCTTTGAAGTCCACGGTGAGATCGCCATTCGTATCAATCTCCCGAAACAGAAGCGCCAACTCCTTGTCCGTGAGCTCTGGGTTGCCCTCGCGCAGCACTAGTGACATCTCCGTGAAACTCAACAGGCCACTGTCATCCTTGTCTGCACTGTGAAACAAAGCTTGCAACTCCCTTTTTCGCGCCTGACTAAGACCTCGCTTTGGTGGCATGGCGCAAAAGAAGCTTTCACATTCCCTTGAACTCCTTTGGAGCCAAAGGCTTGAGCCACATGAACCATATATATATATACATACTATTATATACTCAAATACTCGATCTTGATGAAACACGTCTCCAAGCCCCAAGCTCAATTAAAGCGTTGTGCACTCAAAGAGTTCTCCAAATCTTTTCTCGGCAGTCTCATCTCACCTTGTCTCACTCAATCTGTTCAAATCGAAATCCCTTGCTTCAACTTGCTTCTCACACAAACAAACCCAATCATTTCTGAAATAAACAGAAACAAGAAACAGACTTCTCTCAAACGCTCAGACTTGCTCATCAGCAGTTTGGCCTCAGAAGCTTGGCTCGACTGGGCGTCATTCGATTGGCGCCCGGCAATGACAGCTCCTCTGCGCGGTCGCGCGACCCGCCGTGCGGTCGCCGCGGAAGTGCGCCGAAGCCGGGGCGGGAGCGCAACATCAGTGCACGAAATGGGATCCAAAAACATGGAACAAAGGAAGGAAATAGGCTCCCCACGCCTCACCCTATCTGTATGAACTTTGTCCGCTGACAAAGTGTATCATGTCAATGCTGGTGGGGCTGAATCTCACATCTACAAAGTGTGGACACTGCTGATTTCTCAAAATCTGGCAACTAACTTGCGAATACTGATGGACAGTCACCACTTGGGCAAGAATTCAACGCTCAATCTTCCAGGTCTGCAAGCTAAAGCATGATACACTGACATGTATTGTACTCCTCTTTTCAAGGGGCCGGCACCTCACCCATGAACGCAACACTCTCGTCCTCTTCCACCTTGGCCACATATGCCAAGCCCAGCTGGGCACAGTGTCGGGGCTCGGCCTGGAGCGTCAGACGGTCTATAAATTGAATGTAATTAGGTTGATTTTGAAGTAATGACAGAATGACAAACATATATATATATATTATATCTATAATATCTGGAATCTGGTTGGAGACCACTCGACCTACATTGATCCTGAAACCACCCCAATGTAAATACACATGCACTACATGGGGTGTTATGGAATGGTTGTAGTTGTAGGTCATGGCAGGTTGCTGGACCTATTTGAGTCCCCCTTTCTAGTCGCAACCTTTGCAGCAAAGTCAACCTTCATTTCTTCTAGTACCCTGGATGTTGGGTCTTGAGTGGTACACACATTTCAGAACATGAGACGATTAGGGATGCTTCCCGAAATGTTTGAAAAACTCCTTGCTGCATGGGAAACTCCTAGCTGACCGGACGAACCGGACTGTATTTCAACTTTGACCGTGCCGAAAAACTTGCATGGGAAAATGGACAATGACACTGGTCAGAAAGTCAACTCACAAGATGTATTGGGAAGCGGATCAGAATGGTTAGATTATGTTAGAAAGTTTCTGTCACGAAATCAACCCGCACAGTTGAACTCATTTCTTCCCTGTATGAGTTATGCAGTTACACCATGTTACACCAAGCAAACAAATGGTTGCCTGATCTGAATCTCAAATGCATGCACCCTCTCTCTCTCTGCCTTATTCTCTCACCAGATGTCTCAGAAAGGCCCTGAAGACATGTCTGGCTTTGCCCTTGAAGCATCTCTTGGAACATGTCTTCGCCCCGTCGGCTACCACGACCCTCTACAGTAACATGAAAAGCCCCCCGCCTCCTTCCGCGCCACCAGGTGCTCCAGGAAGGCCAAGGACAACGTCGGGTGTCCCTCCAAGAGTTGAAGCACCTCATCTGCCAAAAGAGGCCGCCCCTGGCGTTCTGGACAAATGCGGCAAGCTCGGAGGTCTGCACAAGTCTTGTGAGTGTTTAAATGGTTTTGGTCTGGATGGACAAGTGGATCTTCTTTTTCGCTAAGAGCGCACCGTTCTCCCATGGTTGGCCCATGACCACTGATTGTGCTCCTTTGTGCAGGCAAAGATGGCCCCGCTTTTACTTATATATCTTTCTTTTGTATCTTTTGCAGAGAAACAGAGCGGGAGCAGGATGCTGTTCCAATGTGTTCAGTGGTAGCCTTGTGGCCATCGCATCGCGCTTCCAGCTGGACTTCTGTGAGTGGCTTATGGGCGGAATCGCCATGGCGGAAAACCACTGCCGGCACAGTGAACTTCGGCAGGTCGACACGCCCCGAAGAAAACGCACGAAGAAAGGTGTTCGACAGGGGCTGAGGGTATTTCAGCTGTGCGGTAAAGAAGACTGCTAACTTCTTATGCACCTCGGAATCAATGGACAGGCAGGCTGGGAAGACATTCACAATTCTCAAGGTCGTAGTTAAGCATAACTTTCAGAAGGTGAAGATGGCACTCTCTCCAGGGTCTTTTCCAGTTCCTGCAGTCCTCCAAATAATGAAAAAACACGCCAAGATAGCACCCGGTCCATGGACAAAGACACTGAAATCCGGTGAGCCTGCCTGTGGGAATGCTTGGCTGAGCCCCAAGGAGGACGGAGGATGGAGGAGCCACTCTCTACTGAGCAGGGTCCACTTGGTCTGAAGGAAAAGGACAATGGATCGACGTGTTCCGCCTCTTTGCACCGCTGCGGTAACCAGTTTTCCGCTTCTTGACCAACGAGTTGATCAAGGATGATCAAGCAGCCTTTCCAGCTTATGAAGCAAATCGGTGTCACCATGGTGAAACCTGCACCACCTTGTCTCACGAGACAAATCGAGACTGGAGACAAAGGCTGTGGTCACAAGTGCGCTAAGCCAACAGCCTCCTCCTCCGAGAAGCCAACAGCCTCAGACACCCTCCTCTTCAGCGGTCGTTAGTTACTCTTGATCGGTCGTTAGTTAATCTTTGAGAAAACAGCATACGGGCACCATCGGGATGGAGTCCAACACAACACGAGCCAGGAATCGGCGGAACCATCTTGTGTGTCCGGAACAAAGGATTGTTATCAATAGACATATTGGCATGTCTTGCAGTCATCCTCCACGGCTGTATGCAGCTTCACCATGGCGGTATAATAATGTTCCATCTTTCCACTGTGTACTTTCAGTGGTTTCAGAATAGATTGCACAAACCCAACGATGTCTTTGATATGGGGTCCATATAAACCACCGAACTTGGAGCTTGTGCCATCGAACCTCTGAAACCACTGTAGCTTGGTTTCGCATCCACCAAGCACGTACCATCTCCGCGTCCCGCGTGGAAGCGCGTGCCTCTCTCCCGCGGCCCGCCGTGAAGACCTGAGTGGCTTGCTGTCTAGGAACCTGGACAGCAAAACTTCCCCAGGGGATTGACCATGATTGACTCATAGGGAAACGAGAAGAAACACCTTCAAAAGCAAGTACCAGATATCGACCGGTCAACTGTTCGGCTTGACCTCCACTGTTGCTGGTTCATCGGATCGAAACGCACGGTTTGGCTACGTGGTGTCCAGGCGTTGGCCATCAGCGTATATCGATCAGCGTTATGGCGTATGCTTGGCTTACATTCCATGCCAAAAGGAGCTTCATCATATCATATGGTTCATTGTCCCGCCCTCGGTCCGCTTGCTGACCGGTCAGGCGGTCAGGGCAAGGCCAACACCGGCAGTATGGCTGCAGGGTCCACGTTCAAGATCTGCGGCACAAACCTGAACAAACAATCTGGCAAACCGTCGGGAAGGTAACCTACACCTGTCGATGGTGATCGGTCTTTCGTCATAGTGGCATTTCTTTGAAGCCAGGAAAGAGAGTAATCTTCCCTCACCCGATGGCTTATGTGGTTTGGGTAAAATCAAATTGAAGGGTATCACACATCGTCCGACTCATCTGATTGCTCATCTGATTGTCAAAGCATCGGTGCTCGAAGCAAGCACGCACGACACGAACACATGTTCGCTTTGCGTGGAAAAACATGGCCATGTTGACTTCTCATCAGCTGTACTCGAATCTCTTGAAGGCCCCTGCTGACGCAACAAGGCAGCGCCAGAAGCACCATGGACGCTCCTGCGAAGTACTGTGCAGCCAAGAACTTTCAAAGTTATATATCCCAGTTTATCCGTCAAAATGATGCTTGTCTCTCGTAAGGTGTCCATCCGCCACTTAAAACTGAAAGAATAAACTGCTTGTTATAATCAGATATTAGATATTTTATTAAGTTGGCTTGAAACACACATCCTTGCCGAAGGGCCGCAGGCGTGATCATCTATTTTCCGTTTGTATCGGCTCCGCATTGGCTTTGATCAGCACTGAGCGGATCAATATGGTTTTTTATTTAGCGGATCCGATTGTGGCCAAGTCCATCCACCAGTTTCATCGTGTGGATCCCAACCGAGAAATTCTCGTCTCGATCGATCTGATGCCCAACGACACCGACGAAGCGAGCATGGAATGATTGCTGTCCAGGCAACAACATCTTCGAATCACTCCAAGGTACACGATTTATTTCATTTTGCATTCAAGCAACTTGCAAAAAGGAACCAGGAACACGACACCACCCAGCTCAGGTGGTTATTGGATGGAAAATACCTGGTCACGGCGCCTCTATACACCAGGCGCCTCCAGTCCTGGGTGGTGCTACTTTCGGCGCCACATCTACAAGTCTCTGGAATTCCGTGATAGTCGAATGACGACTAAGAACACTTATTGTACCATCACAAGAATCTCAGTCTTGGGATTTCATGTCTCTTGACCCAAAACGGCATCCAGGCCGTTGGCCGCGGGGGGTCCTGAGCACTTCCACCATCTCGGCCACGATTTGAGCGGTGGAGAGTCTGGCATCGCTCCTAGCTGTGCATCTGGTTCTCCCGACCGGTCAAGTCCAGCCGTGGGAGGAAAGCGGCTACTGCTAGACTTTGCACGCTTGGTCGGTAAATAACAGGTCTCACCATACCTCACCTGGACAGGGCTTCAAAGAAGCATCCTGCATTAATGTGTCATTTGCAAAGAGCCACATGTGCAAGCCGCCTGGTCAGCATGGAACTCCACTCATGTAGGGCCAGGTCGTACAATCCGTGCGCCTGCCAGTCAGATGGCATGGTCTTTCATGTTTCCTTTGTCGTTCAGTCACACGGAATCCTCCTCACACTTATTAGTACCGCTTCGGCTGGTCTGACCGAATGAATTCTTAGTATTGGGAGAAACACACGGGAGTAATGGACAAAATGAACAAACACATAAACTCTATGTCCATAGTGACGATAGGAACCTTGTCAACGTCAGGCCCCTGCCCCTTTAATTACATTCTGAATGATTCCGTCCAATCCTCATGTGTGTGCCCATGTGTGTCATGTATATATATACATCGTATATATATATATATTATATCCCTATCCCTGCATATTCCTACATTACACATCATCTTGCGGACTTGTACTGGTCAAACATAAGCTCTCCCGTCAAACGTCTCGCAGAAAGGCTTCCCGTGACTGGGCTGGCTTGGGTCGAAGATGGTCATTGCTCGGATTGCTTGGTCCCTGGAATCTGAGGTCTGGCAGAACAATTGCTTCGGAACAACCAACGAGTCAGTTTTTCACTCCACACCAGCCTTTGTCGCCCATGCCCAGCCCGCCCGTTCGCCGAGCCCGTTCGCCCGTCTCGGTCGAGACGTGTTCCGCAACGGGCATGGCCTTCCAAAGTCGTGCCAAAACATCCTAGGCAACAAGGAAGGTGGGAAGCAGGACACTTAGCCAGGATACGAGCCATGGCCATTATAGTTCGAAGGACTTTGGAAGGAACCTTCAGTTGAATATGCCTGGAGCATGCCCTGCTCTTCGGGGGGCAATCTTCCTTCATTGCGAGAGTGATTCCAATCTGTAAGGCATTGGCATTGGGGTTGACCGTGGCAAACATGGGACATCAATGGACAGTTCACAGGTTACATCCATCGGGGCAGTTCAGGGCAGTTCAGGGCGATTGCCGCATAGGGCGAATCAGGGCGATGGCAACCATATGGCACCGGGCACAGCAATGGCTGCAAATACCCAGCGACCTGTCTGGTCGAGCTGGCATGTGTTTTCACTGGCGCACGGTCGTCGACCTCTCTGGGCGACCGGGGAGCAACCCCGTGCGTCTGGACCTGCTGGACTCACGGATGATGTTGTTCGGGATGGGAGGGCCCCGGGATGTATTTTTCACAATTCAACAGGCCTTGAGTCAAACGGTGAAAAAAGAATCATCAAAAGCAGTGGTGATAACAGCATTAGCTTCGGGGAAGCCCATGTCGATCCATTGATGTGTGAACATGTTTCAGCTAAGCATGTCCCTGTTGCACATATTGAGGGTCGTTGGTGACGGATTACGGTGACTTTTGGGGGGCGTTCTGGTCTGAGCGCTGTTCTCAAGCCTGGCGCCAGAGCGCGCTGGTCTCAGTCCAAGTTGCCAGTCTTTGTCGCTGGCGCAAAAAGCCTGCGCAGGTGCGAAAAGCAAATGCTGCAGATGTTCACTTGGTATGGTCAATTTGAGCATACATGAACATAATATACTTTATTGACGACTTAGTTTTAAGTTTGATTCACTTAGGGTATACCATTGTCAAGGCTACAATATGTGATCTCATTTGAGCATGGCTGCGGCTATTCGAGCTACGCTCAAAACTTCCAGTCTCACGTAGAGTGCGCGACCAAATCATGAAACCCTCTGAAGAGCGAGACCAGGTTGCGTTGAAGCGGGGGTCTTCCGTCCTTGTGGTGTTTCTGTCGCGGGCTTTGCCCCCCAAAGCTTTCCCTACAGGTCAAGGACCCCATTATTCTTCAAGTGGATCATACAAAAACACTACTCAATGAGGTCAAGCACCAGGTTACCACTGTGTCAAACTGAACCTGCAGGGTTTGGCCTTGGAATCTTCGGTCTCCTCCCACCCGCATGACAAAAAACATCTTCGCATTTCGGCTGGCGAAGACTCCTCCTTTCAGGCGTCCAAGTGCTTGGATTTGCTTCAGGTCTTTTGTTGT